AGGTGTGCCATCGGTGGGACGTCCCGTTTTGTGTCTGCCGAGTTTGCGGAAGTCTGATCAATTCATAATTAAAGCGGCCGAGGTAATAGAGAACTTGGCGATATCGCGCCGTCGAAAAGTGCCCACTGAGCAAGCAGTTATGTTCGCTCGCCTCTCGAGATGAAGAATTCAACGGCGAGTTCTTCGACGTGAAATCTCATGCGATTTCTATTGTAAATTATACCGGGTACAACCCATTTCGCGGAGAGCAAAATTGCACTTTTAAACCTATGAATTTATAGTACACGATATGTACACAAAATTTTGCCGTTCGCTACCACCCGTCGTTACAAACGATAAATCTATGAACAAATGTATACATTTGATAGAAAGTGTGTTATAAAAAGCAGATACCGGTTAGCTTTAATATTATATTATATAAAATGCTATGTTCGTTCCAAATTGGTCCATTCAGATATTACAAGTTTTTCTTTCCTCACTTTTTTTCACGTATTAATCGTATTTTCACGTATAAAAGTTTTAAGCTAGTAACAATAGCTCGAACACCCTATGTCTTGATAAAGAAGCCTTCAAAAACATTGTAATAATGTTGTACAAGTGGAGCGATCGATAGAACAATTGCGTTCTCTGTTAATATTCACGAGATTCCAAAATTATCCGAGAAATACGAATACCAATATATCTGGAAACCTAGAAATGAATATTTCTTCGGAGCACACCTCTCGGATAAGTTAAGAATATAACTTCGCGGAGATACTATCTGCGTGAATATCAGCGGGAAAATGCTTGCCGGCAACGTTTCAAAATCTAAACGAGATTTTCGGCGAAATTCGTTCCTCCGTGTAACTCTCCGACGGCAAAATTGCTAAGTGCCGCTGCGTTACCGGCGTCCGGAATGCATGTGCAGAAAGAGTTTCACAACAAATTTATCAAAGTCACGCTGGGCCACGACTTCGTTTGCATCTTACGCTGAAGAATTCGTTAGTGAAATTCTCAAATCCAAATGAAAAGCTCGTAGAACTTTGCGAGCTACGATACCACGCGACCGCGAAAGTTTTCAAAGTCCGACAACTCAGTATGGATTTGCAGTGGAGGAATTTGAGTACAACGAGAAGTTTTCCGTTTGCAAGAATTTCATCAAGAGCTTGTTAAGCGTTAAGAGATTTTTACCGTCGCGAGTCGCATTATAATTGTCGCGCGACAAACGTTATTCGGCATCAAAATTTGTGAGATGTAAAAACACGATTTTGGGGATCACACGTTAAAGCGACGTACCTCGCCAAAAAGTGTGATGGGTAGCATTGACTTAAATACAGGAGAGTCCTCTGTTATGAGATAGGCTTTTAATGCGAGATAGCAGGTTTCCAACACTCAAGTTCAATCACAAATCTTTTTCGCAACGATTATGCAATCTAACAATGAATTTTCCTTGTAAGCAGCTTTCGCTCCAAGAGCAATAGATTCACGGTGGAATCAACTGATGATGCCTATTAATTTAACGGGAAACTCTATCCCGTATTAGGATCCTATCTCATAATAAGGGACTTTCCTCTATATACAATGATTAATTGGCTCTTGATAGAAACAATTAAATTGATCGTGACAGAGCGACGAATATAATTCTGCAACATATTATTTAACAAACCTTGCAAACACGTATGAAGAGATAGGTACTTTATCATTTAACGCAAATTAATAAGAACAATAAAGGCTACTATTAAAAAACTAACATTGCGGCTTTGTGTCCGTATTTCTTTAAGTATTACATTATTTACAGTAATTTAGTGTTACACATTTTTCCCGGCGGACCCCGTATAAAAGGATAATGTCCCATGCATAAGCAAGCATGTCCGAATTAAGGGGAGTGAAAAATGACATTATGGACGCCGACAAAGCAGCCGCGTAACGGCCGTTTATTAAATCCGCGTCTTAGCAGCGACACAGAGCGGTTGAACCGGCGCACGGCGGATGCGGCAGGGGTGGACGTTGCATTATGTATACGACGCTCGGGCCGAGGAAATCACAAGGGGTGGAGGTGGGCGACAGAGGGAAGAGACGAAGGATGAGACGAGGAGCCAAATGAATACGATATTGTTACTATCCGAGCGAACGCCGTAAGTTTTGCCCCGTTCCACTTGTCACTCTTCGCTATAAGCCCGCGCTTCAACGCCGCTACAAATAGCAGTTTGACTCGACAAAGAATAAATTAGCCCGGAAATTCGGAGCTTTTTCGCGCGGCCCAAGGGATGGATCTTTGTCGCGTAGCAAAAAAAAAGGGACCTCAAGAGGGTAAAGATGAGGTAAGACACGCGGGCACGAAGCACGCTCGGATATCTAGAAACAGGGGTACTTTGCCCCTTAGGCAGTCCTTAATAATAAATTCATATCTCGACCCCTTGTCTGTTTCCCCTATTCTTTACTGCCGCCGTAGACGAGCTGCGCGACCGAGGAATCGTCTTCGCTTCGCGGGACGACTTACCCCGCCAAGTAAGGTGCCTCGCTCGTTTCCTTCAGTCAGTCTACAAATCTCCCTTTTTTTTTATGCCGCTTAATAAAACTCGTCTGACATATCTCTAACTGCCGCCACTTAATTTCGAGCCGACCTTCTTCAAGGAACGCGACGGATTCCGTTACTTCTGCCGGTTGTTACTGACTGTACCGAAGTAGGTTTGTTTGCTTCTCTCCTGTGGACCGTCGTTCACCTCCGCCAAGTCTTCGCGGGACCTTTTCGAAGTTATTTCTCCGCTTCCTCTTTGGAGAAGCTCCGAGAAATTCGAATTCCTTTCTGGTCTGACTTTTTCCTCGTATTCTCATCCTCTCGCTCGTAGACAGAACAATGGGATGGTCACAGTCGATTCTAAATCGACGATTTTAAACGGCCGGCAAAAGGAGCGCGCACCTTCCCTTACTTGCTGTTTATTTTTCCGCACAGGGCGAGAATGTTAATCTTCGTAACATTTTAAGAAACTTGTGTCACAAATTTATCAAATACTTCATTTAGTATGAAAAACTATCAAATAATATCAAATACTTCAGCAAAACATGTTAGATCTGGATCGCCTGGAGACCGTTGTTTTTTTTTCCTTACTGTTTAACAATGCGGTTGTAATGACCACTTATTAATGCGACAACGAACGCTCTTTATTGTACGTGACAAAACGTTACCTTCCTCGTGTTCAGCCGAGGATTTTATTATCGATTTTGTTAATGTCATTCGCCTCAATTCAACCACGTTGCCGACATACGTCGACGCAAATACGAAAAAAGAAATGCATCGTGAGAATCGTTTGTGCATATCGTACAAGCGGATTGTAGATGTGAGTTAATATTCCTGGCCTTAAGCGTTTGCAATACGTCAGCAATTACGCGTCTTAGAACGGAATATGTAACGATGCTCGTGCACAACTCTGCATCGCATTTGATTGTGGAGCATGACTCTTAGCGCGCGGTTAATCCCGCATCCCTTTTGGGGGATACCAATAATTCAGCATTAGCGCCACGCCAATAGTCCAACGAGTCATCCGGTCGGAATATAGGATTCCTTCGTGAAAATGCCGTCCTCAATAATTCACCATTTCGCGATGCGTCGCAGTTAATTTTGTTGCGAGAAAAGAAAGGGAGAAAAAATGATTTTTCCCCGTTCTATAAAAAAAGTCGTAGCTTATCTGCAAAGCTAAAAAACAGGTGCTTTCGAAAAATTTTAATTTCGTCCGCGCCACAGTGCACGGGTAGTATGCACGGCACGCGCGAATTTTGCAACTATCCAGTTTCGCATAGCTATGCTTAAAAGTGTATAACATCAATTACGATTTTAATGCAAAGAGAGACCTCTTTTGGTTAAACGAGAGAGATATATTTTTAGATGCGTAATTAATTGAGAAATATCCAGAGAGAATGTTACGAGGCACGTGTTCCTTCCGAGAATATCGATCTCTCGCGCGTAACTTTTCTTACCTGAACAATCTCGCCAAGAAATTTCTAATTTGTTATTAATATTTACGCGCCAAGGTCCGTAGAGCGAGATTGATGGCAAGGGAGAGAAATCTTGACACGTATATGCGCATATATCGAACAATCGTTTTTCGCCCTCTGTTTTTTATCGAGCTGGGAAGGTTTACATTTCACCACCTTTTCTCTTATCGGTAGTCTTTTATGCTAAATGTTCGCTTCATTTGAATATTGCTAATGCGAAAAACCGATCCATACTAATGGAGTGATCTCCCCGCATTCGTTTTCGTAAGCGCCGTCGATTCTATTTGCTCTCTACATATCCCGATTCATACTCTTTTTCATGAGGTACGTACGCGCGTACTTCGTCCCCATATTTCATCCATATCTCCAGTTTTATCCCGGCTGTAAGCCGCAGATGAAATCCTTGATTGTATGCATTTTATTCCCTCACCTCGCGCACGACGAATGGTAACGTAAAACGCATGCGAAGACTAACGAATCGAAAAGGGAAAAAATGAGAAGAAAGAGGAACGCGTGTCACATTAAAAGCGCGGGGAATATCGAGACCCAGCCAAGAGTTAAGGCCTAAACAGCCAGCCACGTATCTACGTATACGCGGAACTGCCGCCTTTTGTATTTACACAGCCCGCGTTAAACTGCAGCCAACTAATGTTGCGATTTAATTCAAGGAAAGTGCCACTGCGAATCGCGATCTGTTGGCAAATATTAGGCAGAGGTAATTAACGTAGGTATATTTGTCTAGGAGGAAGATCGCATGACGCGCGCGCGCGCTCGTCGCAGAGTTTAACCGTGTCAAACCGCGCGCTGAACGCGCGTTGCCCGAAGAAACCACGGGTATCCGTCAACGGGTGTGCCGTAGAAATTACGTAGTTCGTTGAGAACCGACCGTCTTCGTCGACTTCGTAAACAACCGGGGAATGACAGCACGACATAAACGCGCCAAACAGCTCGCGACGAACCGTCATTACCTTAGTAAACGGTACCGGCGGGATGGCTCGGGGCGCATGCAGGCAAAACGAGACACTTACTGTACAGACGAATCGTCCCGTCGGTTTCTCCACGTGGGTTCTTCGCGATGCACTTGTAGCTACCGTAGTCTTCTCTCTGAAAGTAAACCGGTGCAAGCAAATTACCCTCTAGAATGCATAGAAATTTTAATGAAGTTGTCATAATAAAGTATTCCTTGTTAATTGTCAAAGTCAAATTTTTTTTGTCGAAACGTTTTTATTACCCGCGTATTCGCGTGACTTTGTTAATCACGAGAGAGGTTGATTAATTAACGGAAGATAGAATGTACGACAAGTATTTTCTTTCAATCGATAGTTATCGTTGCATCTTCTGAAATGTTAATATTGTTATTACTGAGCGACGGTAAATTCTGATATCTACGTAGCCGTATATTATGCATTTTTTATTTCGTACGGATATTCTAGACGAGTGCTTTATTACGCTCGTCGTCTGTCGCGCTCATCGTCAGTGTGCAACGATCGTGATTTACGATATGCTGCTATTACCCAATCGTGAATTTTAACGAGGTGTACATGATTAAGCCGCGCGCTTTTTAACAGCGATTACGTCGCGATTTCGCTGCGATTATCGTGCAATTTTAATTCATCAAATATGCAAAAAAAATTACACCGCTCAATTTTCTCGTGTTTCACGTTTTTACACCGTTTATATAAGCGATAAATTCTTATTCGATAAAGAGGAAATTCCGATTTTCCCCTTTTATTTTCGGGAGCCATTTCTACGCAGTTGCGGGAGGAGACATTTGGAAATCCTTAAATGGGCTGTCATTGAGCATCAAGTAGAACTGTTCGTCATAAGACGGACGGAAAAGTCTCCACTCACCTGTATGTCAGATATCGTAAGTGACATGTGTGTCTTGTAGGGTGGCCTGTCGGGTACCGATGCAGTCTTGTATTTACCGCTCTCGTGAATCATTAGGCCGTCCTCCCTTGCCCAGTAATTCAAAGAAGTCGGATGAGCCTCGGTATAGCATTCCAGCGTAACGGAATAACCCAGGGGCGCGCCGACCAATTGGTGCGGTATCCAGAGCATAGGGGGGACTGCAACAGCAGAAGTGATTGATTGGCTCATAAATGTTCCAATTACTAACAATACACGATGGGCCTACGATCGATATCCCTTCCAAGCGTCTATAAATCTCGCTCGCCCGGCTCGATTACGAGCTGCGAGCTGACGCGAAGGGATGACTCGAGACGTTCGCGATTTTTTTTTCCGTGAGTTCAGTTTTCGAGATCAAATTGAATGATTTATATGTATTTTTCAGAGTAGACTCCGAGTATCTTAAGGCAGAATCAGACTAGCAATTGCCGACGCGGGTTAGATTGGGATTGGCAATTGGCGATTGTCTTCTAGCCAATGAGAGCAAAGCAGCCAGCGATTTAGTCGGCTCTCATTGGCTAGAGGACACTTGTCAATCGTCAATCCAATCCGAGTCGGTAATTGTTAGTCTGATTCGGCCTCAAGGCCGATTCTAGCATTGGTCGTATCGTAGTGTTGCAAGGGTCGTAGACTGATTGGTCGAATCTATAATTCGCGACGCTTGTGACGCTACGATACGACCAATGTAGAACCGGCCTGAAGACCGAATCAGACTAGCAATTGTTGACTCGGATTGAATTGGAATTGGCAATTGTATTTTAGCCAATGAGAGCAACGCAGCCAGCGATTTAATCGGCACTCGTTGGCTACAAGACAATCGTCAGTCGCCAATTCCAATCCAATCCGCGTGAGCAATTGCTGGTCTGATTCGGCCTTAAGACATTACGGCTCCGCTGGAGTCGGATCGGAGTTGACTAGGAGCGAATGTTTCAGTGTAAAAAAAACTCCCCAATTACAGGAGTTTTAAAGGCGTTGTTATTTAAATATTTGTACTGGTGGTAGAAAGAACCAATAAAGAAAACAGAACGTTGTGGCACGTGGCCTTAGCTATCAGTACGCTAACGAGTGGTTCGATCATATGGATGAGAAAAAGGTACCAGAACGCAGATGTTGATGTTGCAAATATTTGTGTTAAAATGTTTGACTTTTTTTGCGGTCGTTATCTCTTCGACCATTATACAAGCGAAATGAATGGAGGATTATTTCAGAAACAGTTATACATAATACGTATCGATATAAATGTTTACGCACATTACCTTCTAGTTTTTTCTCCTATAAAATCTCATTTTCTCCCATAAAACTTTTATATCGAAAATTATATACCTTCAGTTTCTCTATTATTATATTAATGAATATAAAATAATTACTGAAAAGAAATCACATTAAACGATGATTCCATATATACATATTTAACGGTACATACATATATAAAATAATAATATATGGAAATTATTTTCCACATAATTTAAGTTGGTACGTCGAGATGTTAAGATAATACATTTTTAGTGTCTCACAAATCTAATTAGAAAAATAAAAAGTTACGTACGTAAAAGAATGGACGCGGGACTGCATTTTTGTGAGTTGAGAGAGAAAGAGAGAGGCATTTTTTAAAGTTTTATATAAACATAACATGGGAAGCTGGGCTTAATTTTTGCTATATACCGTGAATCCTAAATGCGTATCACGTGGCCCTTTAATAAAAAAGTAATCCCATTTCGATGAACAGCCTCTGCCCCTTGTTGTCGGCGCTGGTGATAACATTTTCTCGAGGTAAGAGCGCTTCAATTTAACTTAAACCTTCTAAGAATATACCTAACCCATATTCTCTCACCGAGTACGTCACGATGTTCAGGGGGAAAATATCATGCAAAACAAGCCGAATACAAATTATAATTGGTGGTTGCACAAGCGGGAAAAATAGAAGCAAGAGCAAACGATTACGTTTGTCGAAAGATTTTGTTCGAACGTATTATTCCCGAGGAAGAAATCAATAAGTGGAAGATGTCGATTTGAAATCGTGTGTGAAAAATTCGAGTTGACACATACGACGTTCAAAATAACGTAAATGATTTCAGCATTTAAATAATATCGATTATTCGTCGAACGGCCAGAGATGGAGAAGTTAACTCTACAAATTCCACAGAGAATGAAACGTTCTTTTCTCTCTGTATTCATGCCAAAAATAAACGTTCTATTTTATATAACGAAAGGCTTTTGCATATAACGGATAGATAAATTATGCAACTAATTGTAAGCCGTACTTACGAAATTACATAACTTAATTATCAATGAGTTAAAAGCTCTATTTACTTTTCCTCTCGTATGCGTCTATCTCGAGAGATACTTCTATTCCGCACGCTCGCAAAACTCTCAAACAACTTTTCGGAGTAAGATTTATCTTACAATCTTTTTCTTCGAAGTCAACAATTTTCTATAATTTGCGGCTTGTTGCACGATTCACAACCCGCACAAATTAACAATTAATTTTAATTATTCAATAAATCAAGCCATTAAAAAACTGTTTGAGAAATATATTTTACGGAGAAGACGAAGTACCGTTTTTTTTTTTAAAGAGTTTCTCTAGAAAAGGGAGAAAAACAGGGTTTGTCGGCTCCTCCTGGATACCGGAACGATCGAGTTTGCTCTCGTTTCATCTGGGATCTCCTTTAAGCAAGAGCCTCGGTAAACGGCGACTCGATTAAATGCGATTGTCCTTCGAGTCCTCTAGAAAATGACCACACGAGAGCCGAACCAATCCGTTTTCCGGCGACTGTTTTTCGACTCTTTCACTCACCCGCGACGACTCTTCCGAATTTTCGTCGCCCTGAGCGTTTATTAATTTTGTACTTGTAGAACGTTTTCATCATTTATCAAGGCATTCTATAACCTAGTGATTAACTCAAAGTACATAAGAATCTCAAGTCGTTCCGACGTTATTTCGAGCTAAACAATTTTTGGAAGGCTTCAAAATCTTGAGATATTTCGAAAGTCTCGAATGTGTCGAAAATTTTAAAAGTATCTCTTTAAGAAATATTTTTCTCCCTTACAACAGTACGTGTCATTTCAATCCTTGTCCACGATTATACTTTGTAAAACGTTAGAAGTATCTTATATATCTTTTACGAAAAATTATTAACATCGCAAGCAAAAATAACTGGAGAAAGATTCCACGATTTCTCCTGTTTTTTTTGTTGCAGGAATCAAACCGCAGAAAAGAGGAAAAAACTATTTTTATTCTGTCAGTTCTTTTGCACGAAAAGTTAAATTTGTTCATAAAATACATAATGCATCGATTTGTTACGTAAAATGGAGAAATTTCGCGCGACAATAATTTACAGCGGCGAAATAAACGCGGATGTAAAATAAACGTCATTAAATGTAACGTCGGGCGCTTCTACTAAACACGCTCGCGCGGATTCTCCGTTCGTTCACTGTAAAGCGACCCCACTAGCATCGGTCGTCCCGCCGGGGATGGGCGTTCTTTTTGCCACGTAATACAGGACCGTGAATTACTACGGATTTCAAGGGAGGGATCGCTCTTGTGCCTCTCGTGTCTCCCTCCACCCTTTTTCCCTTCTTTCCCCCCTGCTCCGCGACGAGCGCGAGGCGACGAGGGAGGCCTGTCTTCGGATAACGCAAAGGATATCCGACACCTTCTTAAAATGCAAAACATTCCGTCTGAGGGTGAGAAGGGACGGGACCAACCTAGGTTGTCTGTAATGCTTCGGATCCTTATTGCGCAGACAAGCTCGGGCTTTCCCGGTGCGAAGGCCCCTGACCGGATCCGTTGGACGTCCTACGTTCGTTCTCCCTTTTTTTTCTCAAATTGTCTTTTGCGCGCGATGTCAAATTCGATCGATGGAAACGGAGTGCTCTCGGTGTAAGCCACTTCTTCGCGAGCACCGACGGGCTTTATATAATTAATTGCAAGAGATATAAACTTTTTTACATCTTCTTTTACATTCGTATTCTTTGATTAGTTTAGAAGTACTTGTTTCGTAATAAGAATATGCGCCGACGACCCATTTCTTTGCTACTAAAATATTTCTATTCTTTAATCTAGCCCGAAGAAACGTTCCACTTTATCGGAATTTTAATTAACGGCGTGCAGAGGTAAACGCGCAATTACATTTGTAAAATTATTGCGTTACTGCTGAAACGGGAAAAGATATTGCTCAATGCCGCCGAGAAATTAAAGAGTCATAATCATTTAATAGAATTTTATTTCATCAACCCTCGGCGCGTAACAATGCGTACTTCAGGCGGGAAATTTTTACAGGTAATAGATGTTTTACCAAGCAAAGTGATCCGCGGTGAACAGTGAAGGGTTTAAACATTAGCACGGGCCACTGCGAAATGTAAACGACGTCGAGTTAGATTGCGGAGAACAATGTGTGGAACGACCCGCAAGGTAGATGAAAGCTAATTCAGGTGGAAGTTAAACAGAGTTAAAGGTACGTCCTTTAGGTAGGGTAGGCAGGCTAGGTCGAGACCGGGTTAGGTTACGAGAGTTCGGCCTTACATTCATCACGCAGGAGGCCTTGAAGCCTCCTGTGGATCGGTATGCCCTTTAATAAAGAATGGCTGGACGCGCTGGCTCGTTCAGGCGATATGCAGCGCATAAAATTCTGCCTCGATATTTCCAGTCGAAACGCTACGCGCTGCTTTCCCGTCAAATTACCCGCGTGAGGGAAGAAAAGGAAAAGGAAAACAGACGCGTACGCTTATCAATTATGAAAATTTTTCTCCAACTTTATGAAAATTTATATTAAAGGGGAATAATTGTAAATTTCAAGACTACCTTTATATATTTCCAACATGCGTTCACGGCTCGTAGCCACGTGACAGGAGAGGATCATGTACGCAGAAGAGAACGTTAATTTTCCAGTTTTCGCCAGAGATTTTTATCTCAAAAACAAAGATGAAAATTCGTTCTGTCTCTTTTTAGGTAAAACTATCATATTTTCTTAGAGATGTTAACGGATGTGCAACGTCCTGCATGTAGTATGTGATATATGATAGGTTTGAGATACTCTCGGGCTAAACGGCAATTGTAAAATATCACCGAATAGTATCACTTGAAATTTAGAGCGATTAAAAATGATTAAAATGATAAAACGGACTGAAAGCTGTTAATTATCGGGTGCCACTTCTCATTTAC